TTGAATATTTTTGGTTAGAAACTTTATGTTTTTGTTATCTAAATTTTTTGTTTTCGTTTCAGAATTTTATCTTAAATTGTGTGTTCAAAATGTGGTTTTTGCCTGTGCGAAAATCACGTTTTTGCAGACATTTTAGGCTAAAAGTTTGAAATGTAGACAAAAAATTTAGGTAGTAATGTGGCGCATGGGCGAGAAATTTGTCGGCGCATTGGGCGATTCGAGGGTGCATATAAGAGTAATTCCCATTTACAAAATCTGTTTTTTGAAATTTTAGTTAAATTTCTTCTTGCCAACACACTTTTAATTCAGTTGTCTGAGGTCTGTTTTTAACAGCAAGTCTGAGTTTACCATATAAGATTACCATTAATATGTTTTGTATTCAGTTACTGAGATTTAAAACCAAAATGATTTTAAACATCACTGCATGAATCATTTCTCAAGCTGTTGTATGTTAATAGTCATGTGGAGAGGAAAGTAGCATGATCTCATGTTGATGTTATGCTTGATGGTGATTAAAGACTTTAGCTAACTTTGCTATGAAGAGATGAGTGTATTAGCAAGCAAGGAGAAATTTAACAGAAATTTCTTTCCATATGCAAAAATAGATTTTGTAAATGATGCTCATAGGTGAAAACATTGCACTTAGTGAATTCATAATAACTGATTTGTTTTTCAAATAAACCCATAACTGGCACCAGAGTTTAGGCGAGGCAAAATTTTTAGATTTTAGAGAAACACCGAGCAACAAAATTAAGGAGTGAAAAAAATCTTTAGAATTTAGAAAAGGCAAGGGTGCAAAATTTTTAGAATTTCTCTGCATTTCTAGAAACATTAAATATTAGTGAAATAATATGTGATTAAAATTAAATTAATGTTAGTGAAAAAAAAAAAAAAAAAAAGAGAACACACATCAATAGTTTTAAAAGCAACTGATTATTTAAAAATACATAGCAATTGTAATGAAAGTTGCATAATACTTGCACAGAATTTTCTGTGCTTTTCAATATACAGGATGTCTCAGTATCATATTTCAGGACTGCTAGCAGGGGTAGGGTGCACCTTGGTGATTCCGAATCATATAGCAATGCAGGGTCAAACATTAGAAATTAAAAGATATTAGGGAAGTTAATATTTGTTTTAATAATAAATTTACATGCACAAAAGTAACATGAGTCAAATATAGTGTTTACATTTTGTCTACTAATTTCAGTGCACACTGTAACAGCTGTAACCCTCCGAGCATTACAGGTTTAGCTCTGAAATTTCAAAGTTCCTCAAAATGTTGTGAATAAGTAGTATTGTCTTGACTTTAATTAAAAAATGACTCTGTCATTTTGTACCTTGATTCCTTTTCTTCCAATATATATTAAAACTGAAATCAGATACACTAAAAGCTAGGAGAAATTTTCTTGTATAATGAATATAGAAGGCAGCCTTCTATACAGAATTTTCCGGCCGTAACGCTGAGATGGTTAATATCGTTATTAATCTCTCGTGCATTTGAAATAGATGAGTAATAAATAATGTACAGGTTACCGGCAATATTGAAACGCAGGCTTGAGAGCTACATGCATTTTCTTGCACGAAGCATGTAATTATTTTTTTTAAATAAGTTTATATACTTTTTCTTCTCTTGGTTTATGTGTTGCCATTTTTGAGAGTAAAATAAAAGTTATTGCTGTGGTCCATCACTGAAGTTTACTTTAAATTGTTAAAGAAGTATCACAACACCTCACATTTATGGTGCATGGAATTCTGAATATTCTGTAATAGTCCAGACATATCTTAAATCTCCCCAGTAACTACTTCGATTCAGGCAACCAAGCTCCTCAGCATTGTGAAGGGTAGTGTCATAAACCAGTGTCTTCATATGCTTCCATAAAAAGAAATCAAGACATGGTAGGTCTGGTAATTGAGCAGGCTAGTGCATCGGACCACCACATCCGATCTATTGTTGGCCAAATCTGACATCTAGGTGGATAAAAACATTATGATTGAAATGGGCAAGGACAACATCACATTAGAAAAATATTGGCTGTCACATTGATGCAGAAATTTGTTCATCATCTAAAAGTTGAGGCATGATGTACTGCAGAAAGATCAAGTAGTTACAACCGATTAGACGAAAAGGCAACAGGTCTGATGGGGTGATTTCCACTAAGCTGGCCCAAACATAACCGAAAACCGACTCTGCAATATGCAGTGCTGTGTTGCATGATGCATGAGTGTTCTCTATCATCCGTAGATGGACGTTATGTGTGTAGAATACTTCCTTAGAGAAGGATGCCTCATCGGTGAACAACACATTAGCAAAGAAACAGGGTTCTATAACATTTTTTTCAAAATATCGTTGTGGAAAAGCAGTCTGAGGTGCATAATCGCACGGTTAAATGCATTTTGTTTTTTCTCTGAATGCTGGAATGGGAAACAACTGCATGCACTGTACTTCACTTAGTCAAACTTGGAGTCCCCTTCATTCCATGTACAAATGCTGTGTGGCTGTCCCACTACAATCTGCAGCCCCCTATGCCAAATGCATATTGGCTAACTTCGTGTTCGTGTAGTTTTTCATCTTACTAACTCTGCATTCTTATGCAAAATGCCGATTCTCTGCAAAGAACTCTCAGAGCTTTCGTGCAAAGCCATCTATGCACCAGGAAAGCATTTCAGACCCTGCATTTCTATATGATTCCGAGTCATCATGATGCACTCTACCTCTGTTAGAAATTCTGAAACATGGTACTGAGATGCCCTATATACGATTGGCTGTCACATAAAATTGCATATTTTAAAAATATGCCTAAATTTTGAGAGGTAACATATAACATAAGATTTTAATGATAATTCTTTAAACCTCAAATTAACCGCTTGCCTGATTATCCCAAGTTATCTCGGGTTCGTATATATTGCAGTTAATTATTATCCCGAGAAAACTCGGGCGAGGCAGAATTTGTTAGTACGATTTCTTTTATCACGGTTTTACTCGGTCTGGAGGAAATGAAAGGAAATATTTATCTTTGATTGGCAGTTTGCCAAATTTTGTTGGTTGCACGGTTCTTTTGGAGGGACTGGTCCCATGTTTCCCTATTGTATAGTATACTTGGCTTGTGGATTAGTAATATATAAAGACGGATGCATGCGTTGGAAAAAAATAAAATAATGACGGTGATGGAAGATAGCGAAAGCGATGATTTTTCAGATAGTAATTATGAAAAGGTTGGGAAAAAAATCAAATCCAACGAGACAGTGTACTCTGCGCTCCCGTGAAAGAGATTCCAGCGGTAAGCCAGTAAGAAAAGAGACCAGATACCAATGTAGAATGTCAGGTATCACTCTGTGTTGTCCCTTGTTTCAAAACTATCATACAAATATTAATATTTAACTTTTTTTCGTTTGCCCAAGATAACTCAGGATAGTAAACTAATATTAAAAATAAATGCTTTTACACCTTCAAAAAATTAAAAATTCAACTTAAAACCCACATATTTTGATTTGTTTCATTTTGTTGTATTTAATAATAAAATAAAAAAATGTGATGATTTTTTGCAATTTTTTTCAAAAAAATTTGTAAGGAAAGCGGTTAATGTCACAAATTTGAAATAGGGAGGTTATCTGATATAAAATTGCTAAGCATACTTTTTTTCAGTGTCATTTGCTTTAAAATGCACTATGAGCAATTGTATTTTATACATAATGCATAAAATACTATTTTTCATTTATAAATTTTCAATTCATTACACTTTTTACAGGAAAAGTTATAAAGGTAAGTCTTTTTCTTTTTTAAAGAACATACAGGCGTAATAAATTTTTACAAGTGTTTTTGGAGTGATTTAAAAATCCCTTCTCTTTTGATATAAATAAAACATTCAAAAGTCTGTACCCGGGGCAGTCCCCGAGTTTGCCACCTGGGGTATTACCTAAATTTGGCAACCCTATTGTTATACAAATAAGTAATTACAATAAATAAATACAAGTAGAAAAATCAATTCTATGTCCAATTTTGAAGAAAAATTTTAATTTCAATATTTAAAAATTATATTATTATTTTCTTGTCCTTTTTCTTCGCGGAACTATCGATGGCATTGCAGAAGCCTATTTAATTGCTTTTGCTGTTATCTAAACAGAAGAGAAAGATTTCTTAAATGCAAATTATACTTTCGTAGTTCTTAAGTACTTCTTAAATGATTTTTAATTAGAAAATGCTTCTTGCAATTAACAACATTTACTGCAATTGAGAGGAAAATTCACATTAGTATAAAATATTTGGAACTTTGTTCTAGAGTTTCTAGTTTAGAATAAACAGCAAAAATTCAAAAGTACTGCCCTTCAATGTTCCTGTTTCGATTTTACTAGCAATAACAAAAATAAGCTTCTGAAATACTTCTTTCTTAAAGAGGAATTCTTTTTGTATTAATGTTACTGTGTTCATAATTGAGTTGATATTAATCATAATTTAGTTTGCATTCAAAAGTTTTGCTAAAATAAAAAAAGACTACCAAAAGTATGTAACTGTTGTTGAATACTTAATGTTCTCTGAATACTTTATGTAGAATAAAAACTCTTTTCATCTTAATTTAATTCTGTATAGAAATTTGACATCTAGTTATTTTCTCAATGATCCATCTGACTAAGCTTTATAAAATAATGTGTCATGGAAAGAATGCTGCCCCTAAATTTGGTAATTTGGTGGTTCATCCCCTCCTCCTCTAGCTAGTGTTTATAGCCTAAGCAACTATCATAGTTTTTTTTTTTTTTTTTTTTTTTTTTTTTTTTTTTTTTTTTAATGCATGCTTTTTGTCTGGAGGACTTTTTATCAGGAAAACCATTTTTTTTCTTATGTAACTGAAATTTTTATATTATCTAATCAACTTTTATGGCTTTATTATTAGCATCATAGAAAATTTATGAAATGTAAGCTTATTTATTTAAATCATTTTGGAAATATAATGTTGTAAACTTATATTATTAATAAGTATATTATAAAATCAAATTATTTTCAGCTTCAGAAAAAATATCTGAGAATTTACATATATTTGCAAATGAACCTTCCTTGGCATGTTACAGACTTCAGGAACACATTCACAAGTCTTTACCTCAGCTTGTTTTAAAGAGAGTAAGTGTTTTTGTATAAAGTATTTGAATTTACAACTGTGAAGTCTGAGATTAGAATCAACAAGACTTTGATTTTGGGAGTTTGGAAATTTCTGGATTTTAGACTACTTATTTAAATCTAGTATGATGGTATGGGGAAATTATAAAATTAAAGATATGAAATGATTGTTTGTGAAATAATGAAGCATTTATGAGCATGAGGTAATGCATGGCTTTGTTGAAATGGGCAGAGAAATGCAATTGACTGCCATAAATCATCATTTCTCATGCAAATTTTGAAAGTTATGTATCACTACCTGAATATAAATCTTGCCAACATGTATTTTATCTATGGAGCTGAGGATAAAATACTTTGGAATTTGTTTATCTCTTTTGAATAGCTGCTCCACGTTAGCTGCAGCCTCATAGCTAAAATGTATGCCATTGAGCTCCACATTCATATAGTGATACTCACTGCTCAAAATATGCCTAGGTAATGATGATTTTTGCCAGCGTTGCCAGAAATCTTTCAATTAAAGTAGCAGGAGAAGAATCAAAAAGTCGCAGAAAGTAACAAATGATATTGGAGATCATGTGATTTTTGTGATATTGTAATTTTATATGTTCATGACATCATCACAAATTCAGTCTCCATTGGCTCTGTAAATTAAAGACTGTAATTCAATTTTTAGTTACTTTAATTATGTATTTTAGTTTCAATGAAATTTTTAAAACTATATTGCTAATTTATGATTGTTTAAATATCCATTTTATTTTTTAATTAATTTAGTTAATTTAGGTTTTTATTTTAAAATTAAATTGTCCGTATCCATTGTTCATTGCAGCCTCATGTTTGGGTTGTTCATGTTTTTGTACTAAATTTTTTAAGTTAGCAATTCATTTTTAAAATTTATTGTTTTTTGCTTTATTTTAATTGGTAATGACTTTCCTTGAAACTTCTATTCTGCTTGGTAAACGTATTTAATTTTTATCAGATCCTGAATGCTAATAAAAGTTCTGTTCTTTCATTGTTAAATTTCTCTATGCTGTTATTTAGAAAACTGTTGTTGATTTTATTTTTAAATCATTTCTATTGTTAATGTCTTAGCAATAATCAAATAATAATTCATAATCATCATATAATAATTTTATGATCAGGAGGATGAATTTCATTTCTTTCTCTATTTTAATGGCGCTCAGGCTGCAAAAAGCGATTTATCATCATAGAAATGGGAAAGTGCAAAAAAACTGACTTAAAAACAAAAATTTTGAGCAATAAAATTATTAATATCATTATTAAGGTGCGTAATTCTGTTTTACACTCTTTTGCAAATTTTTCAATGTATTACTATTGTTTTTATGGAGTTGTCTTATCTATCAATAATAGAATACACTTTTTGCTCCATGAGTTCAAATATATTTATATAAATCTCTCTTTAAACAAAAACACACAACTCAAGTGCACATTGCTTCTTTTACAATATTTTTAGTTTTAATTTTTGAAATTATATATACTTCTTAATAATATATATATGTATACAAGGTGCACAATGGTTACAAACTTTCGAGAGAGAGAGGACGATGACTTCCTAGACGAACTTTCTAGACGATGGAAAATCCCAGAACAGTGCATGGTAGGAAATGCTTAATTGGCATAATAGTGACAACACAAAATACAAGAAAAGAAGGATATGAACAGAGTGAGGAAGCGTGTTTATTATGCTTAGTACAGCAGTAACCAAGAAATAAGAACAAAAGCAGACAAAGATCATCATCAAAGGTCATCGAAATTACGACTTCAGACCTTGATGCAGCCTCGCATCTCTGGTGCATGAATGATCTGATGTTCTGGAAAATACTGGGTGTGTCCCAATTTCTCTAGCAGCTGCCACGATGCATGCAACAAGTTCCTTAGCATTGTTAACAGAGTTTTGTACATTCTTGTCTTGACATACCCCTAAGAGGAAATAGTCAGTGCAAGTGAGGTCTGATGATCTTGCAGGCCAGTGCAATGTACCACTCTTGCTAATCCAATGTTGAGGATACGTAGCATTCATATGGAGACACTCTTCAAGGCTAAAAGGTGAGGGAGGGCTCATAATGCTGAAACTATACGGCAGAATTCATTACAGCAGATACATGTTCATCATATAATAGCTGCAGCAATACTTACTGAAGAAAGATGAGATAATTTGTACCTGTCAGACATTGGGAAGGAGCAAAATCATCTTCATCCAGTGGTGGCTTGGCAAATGCGGTCAAGAGCAGGAGACTGACGTTAATTACGGAAGCGGAAAGTAAACGGCTGTGTCAGGGATCATAAGGGGAGATATATTTTAAAAAAAGTGTTTTTAGGTCTCATTCAGTACCAGTATATCAGAAATAAATGATGCACATGGTATCAGAATGGAGACAAATTACATAAGATACGAAAAGTTATATTTATTTGTTCTTTAACATTTCATTATTACATTGTTTTTGTTCAGGAATTTCCTTCCACCCCTCTGAGCAATACATACATGTATGTCGGATGAAAAGCACTGCTATAAACAAATAATCCAACCCAATTCCAGTTGAACAGCGCTTATTAATACTAATTGTTTACGGAAAGCATCCTAGTTTTTGAACAGCTTCGTATCATCTACCATAAAATTAATTAATTAATCATCTTAAGAATGATTTTGTGTTGAATATGGAAAAACATATGAGGGTTGGCTAGGCATGATTTCATGGAGAATTTTCTAAGGAAAATGGGCTCATATTTACATACCTTAAGGAAATCCACGGAAATGCTTACACAAAGTGGTACGTTGCAGTAGGGTTCCTTCAATCCATCTGTTAAATTTGCATCTAATTGTCAAGTGCTAAATTTTTTTGGCTAGTTTATACATTCAAAGGAAAATACAAGTTACTCACTGAACTTCGCATGTTAGTCTGAATAACCTTCAAACCCGATGAACAGTATATTTCTGTGACAAGGCGAGCTTTCTGACTGTACAATCTGTTTCACATTTAGCGAGCTTGTGCAGAATAAGTTTATTCGCTATTTTATGTAATTTCTGGAATATTTTGTAATTCTTTTATTTTTTTCATTTAAATTTTATTTTTTTAAAGATAATTTCTTTTATTCACAAATATTTATATTTTCTATTTTTCTAATAAGTGAAACATTTAATTAGATTCTGATATTTTGTTTTCATAAGATAAAGTACGAAACCTTTGTTAAAATTTTCATTGCTCACTGTAGTTCAGTGACTGTATTTTAATGTGCTATTTTATTCGCAAGTCCATTCATCATCAGATTTGAAACTTGGAAATGAATTAACAAATCGATCTTTCCATTCAATTGGTTCTATCGACTTGAATACAGTGAGCCTGAGTAAACGGGAAGTATCTTTCGTAAATATAAAAACCATTATAAGCGCATTTCTAAATAATAATTTTGACAGCTGTTTGATGCTGCTTTCAAAAGATTTCGAAGATTAATTATAAATATAAATATATATACTGAAAATTACGAAGAGAATAACACATACTTACCTGTTATTACGAGAATAAGTATTTCTAATGTATGCAATAGGGCAATTTATTTACTGTATCGATTTATTACTTATTGTAATGGATTGGAATATTTGAATATGAATTAGCTGAATATTTAAGAAAAATATTATTACTGCGAGAATAGGGAAAAAAAAAACATTTTTTGAATATTTACTTTCTTATAGAATGCAGATGAATTCATTTTACTCAACGAAAATCAAAATTTAGTAGCTAATTAATCTGTCGTATCGAGCACTTTAGTTCAGTGATCCGTATTAATGTCGCTTTTTAAAAAAAAAAAAAATGCTTCAAGAATAATTAGAAAAGGGCATAATTCTCTTCTTACCCTTAATTTATCAGGTTCAATATTCCTTCTAACCTTCTTCGGGAACATACAAGGACCTGACTCGGAACAGAGAGCTTACTAAAGCTATGTTCACTAATTGTGGTAAGTAGACAGGATACAGACGAAGGGTATACAAAACCCTTTATTTTTTCTCTATATACAATAACTTCCGTACTTCGGAATACACTGACCCTCCACTCGGGGTCTAACGTAAAAAAATATAAAAAATAAAACTAAACTCTAATTTAACTTTAGAATAATACACGTGGAAGATTGGCCTTATAATAACAGGAAGCGTATGTAGCACAGAGACTGTGAACACTACAATACGTTTAATTTATCAAGAGGATTAAAACCTCTGGCCTGGAAGGCAAACAGCAACTGCGTAACTTCTAAGGTAAGCGGCCTGCTTCGAACCTCACTGCTTCCTCTCTCTCTCTCTTGGCAAAAAGGCCACACTTAAATACTTGGCGTTCGCCAGACAAACTTTGCATAAAAACCTTCACGCTTATAATTCTGGCCGGAAGTAGAAAATAAGAAGTGATAGTAAAGATTTAAAATAAAATAAACGTTAGTAAAACTTAAGATCCTTACATACTTCCCGCCAGAGTTAATTAGTTTGAAACTGAGGTCTAAAACGACCTTGTTGAAAACTTTTAGCTCTAGAATCTAACGCGAGGCCAACCTTTTACAAACACAACTTCCCTAGAAACTAGAAATTTAAAAGAAAGAAATTTGTTACAATAGCAGCTCCCAGGATATACAACAATCTTTTTTTCATCTGTACTGCATCTAAACAGGAGCTTTATTCAATTCTGGTTACTTCCAGAGATCTGGAAGGAAAACTAGTTTAATGAAATGTTACACAATGACATGGCAAGTAACATATACAATATACTTCTCTTAACATTCTTATTTCATTCATGACTATTTTAATTATCTCTCCCCGTGCTCTCTGACATGTGTTGTAAAAGAACACCAAACACGAATGTGTTTCTGTCTACGTGTGCCACACTTCCTCCTACAATCAAAACACTAACGTGTTAAAATTCAACATAACGAGACCTCTTAACACACCCTACTTTCAACTCTAAACCCTGAGGTACTATTCTAAAAGTGGCTAACTCTAAAGTGTA